TTAGACTTAAAACATTTTATACAGTAGACACTATTAAAATTGTTTGTGGGTATATCTGGTGTCTTTATTATTATTATTATTATTATTATTATTATTATTATTATTATTATTATTATTAGCAATAGCATAATCATCATAATTTGTATAGTTTTCGTCGAGGAGTGGCTAGTTTATGGTGCACCATTTGTCCATTCTGTAGACGGTAACTGTAAAAACAAGTAAACAAAGAGGTTAGGACCTGAGCCCCAGAAATAGAGAACACATTAGTTATAGTGCACAAGTTACCTAACAGTGTGAAGGTACTACCTCAGGATTCTGGGCAAGACATTATTGACAAAGAAATAGGTAGGACTGGTGGCAGAAGGCGTGGTGGTGTGTCACAGAGGGCGTAGTTTGGCATGATGGTGGTGTGTCACAGAGGGCGTAGTTTGGCATGATGGTGGTGTGTCACAGAGGGCGTAGTTTGGCATGATGGTGGTGTGTCACAGAGGGCGTAGTTTGGCATGATGGTGGTGTGTCACAGAGGGCGTAGGTTTGGCATGATGGTGGTGTGTCACAGAGGGCGTAGTTTGGCATGATGGTGGTGTGTCACAGGGCGTTGTTTGGCATGATGATGGTGTGACACAGAGGGCGTAGTTTGGCATGATGGTGGTGTGTCACAGAGGGCGTAGTTTGGCATAATGGTGGTGTGTCACAGAGGGCGCGGCGTTGCGTGGTGGTGGAGTGTCTCAGGGGGCGTGGCGTGACGTGACTCGAGCGCTACCCACACTACTGGCTCTGAAGTAGACGAATATTCTTAGAGAGAGAGAGAGAGAGAGAGATGCATGCTGTTTCCTTTTGAGGTCTGAAGTAAAAACAGAAAAGCTATTGTAGTTTTTATACATTATTTATTTGCCATGAGTGAAGGGTAATGTTATAGTTCACTGAGCACGATTATTATTAGTTATAGTATTACTCGTGTTATTACAATATTTATATTATTATTATTATTATTAATATTATTATTATTATTATTATTATTATTATTTTTATTAATTCTTATTTAGATAAACTAACAGTCTTGTATAAAATTGAACCAGAAGTCATGAATACATACATAGTTCGGCCTGAATATATAGCAAGAAATTTTACTTTGAAAAACAAACACGTAAATCATATTTGACTAATTTTTAAATAACTGAAATTTTAAATATTTTCTTTGGCGTAGAAATTAATTTACTTTATTAAATCTGTTTATTTATATTTGGAAAGTATATATCATTAAAGTAACTTACGTGTTTGTAAGTATAGAACGCGATACATAAGTTTTGTATGTTATAAAGACAACAACTGTTTAAATATCAAGAATTATATATTTATCTTCAGTGTTGTTTACCAATTTAAGGGATTGTTATTGATGTGAAGTATATGCTTTAGTTAACCCTTGAATATATTTCTTTAGTTACCCCTCGAATATATTTCTTTAGTTACCCCACGAATATATTTCTTTAGTTACCCCTCGAATATATTTCTTTAGTTACCCCTCGAATATATTTCTTAAGTTACCCCTCGAATATATTTCTTAAGTTACCCCTCGAATATATTTCTTTAGTTACCCCTCGAATATATTTCATTTGACCGAATACATAACTGTCTCTCGTGCGTATTTGTCTGTCTTACCTGTCTCTTCATATATCTTTACTATCTACATTATTATCTACCGTTCAGTCCATTTATCTTTCTGTCTACATGTCCTGTCCATCAACCTGTCTGTGAGTGTGTATTAGTCCATCTATATCTAATCTACAGGATATTTGTCTGTCTGTCTGTGTCTACCTAACTCATTTCCCTATTGGCTATCCAAACCAGAGGTAGTCAGTCCGAGAGAAAGAAGTCAGTGGCCTGTTTAGAATCCCTCCATTGTTCTTCATAGTCTTGTCTGGTGTTATTTTAAAGCCTCAGTACTGTTTTCGCTTTCACGGCCTTCAATTGGTAGATTGTTCTGTAAGTCGGCCTTCCTTCCTTCCTTCCTTCCTTCCTTCCTTCCTTCCTTCCTTCATCTGTGTGTAGAAGTATTTCCTTATATTCGTCTTGCATGTTATCTTGGTGAGCTTAAAGTTGTGACTCCGAGTTTGATTCAAGGTAGTTAAAACCTAATCTAATCTAACCTAACCTAACATAACCAAACCAAACCAAACAAACCTAAACCTAACCTAACCTAATGGTGGCCCCAAACGTCAGCTCGCCATCCGGGTTTACGTCTTCCACCTCCTTCGAGTTTATGAATGTTTTAATGACATCTGCCCTATTGTATCTCGTCTGGGGAGTTGTCAGCCCTTAGGTCCATCTCAGTCTACGTGTTGTGTTTCTGTAGGTAAGTTTCTTCATACCTGTGTACAGTTCAGTAGCTCATGTGGGGACGTACAAGAAATGTATTAACGCAAAGGAAGCATTTTCTTATCCTAGTATTGCTTGGCTTTTTTTTTTCTTTCACTGCTGCCTCCCTCCGCCCCCCCCCACCCCCCCTGGTCATCTCCACCCCCGTCCTCAACCCCCACCCCCACTTGTTGCCTTCACTGATTGATCTCCTTCGACTCTAGATCTTTTCCCTTATTTGACGTTTCTAATAAAATTTTGTGTATTGGTTTATCTGTCCGTCTATCTGTCTATCTATCTGTCTGTCCAGGGCCGGATTCAGGAGTGGGCAAAGTGGGCAGCTGCCCAGGGGCCTCCACATATTACAATAATTTATTTATTTGTTTATTCATTTGGATTATTTTTATTTTCATTCTTTAAAATTCATGGGAATTTGTACACTATCAATAAATATACAGTTAATTAACAATTTCTCAATGTTCTAATTTCCTCAATATAACTGCATATGGCTTCAAAATTCTCCAAAGAAGTGTTCAAATTTCAAAATTTTCCCGGGGGGCTTACAGCGCCCCCCGGAACTCCCAGATGTTTAGGCTCGCTTCACTCGCCACCCCACCC